TGTTATTTGTATTCTCTCCCTCTTTTCCTTTGTTAAATTTGCCAGTGGTTTGTCAATTTTATTAATCTTTTCAAGAAACCAATTTCTGGTGTTGTTGATTTTTCTATTGTCCTTCTATTTTCCATTTCATTGATTTCTACTCGAATCTTTATTATTTCCTTTCTTCTGTTGACTGTAAGCTTTTCTTGCTGTTCTTTTTTCTAATTGTTGGGGATGTTTGTTTAATGTATTTATTTTGTCTTTTTCTTCTTTTCGGTGTGCCTTTATTGCTCTAAATTGACTTCTGATCACTGCTTTTGCCATGTCCCAAAGATTTTGGTATGTTGTGTTTTCATTCTCAGTTGCTTCAAAATTTTTTTAATTTCATTTTTTATTTCTTCTCTTACCCAGTCTTTCTCAAGGAGGATGTTGTTCAATTTCCATGTGTTTGCTCTAAAAGAGCATAGAGTTTTGATAGAACCTTTGAAAATCTTTTCTTATTACATAGAATTAGGAAGCAATTGACTTTTATAGCAGTGGTCCACATTTCTCAATTCTATGTATTCCTTTTCATTTATTCTTGAAGACTAGTCAGCTGTGGCCAGTTAACAACACATTGCTACAAAGAAACAACACTGAGTAAACATAACACAATAACATTCTAACTTTTCCTAACCACTTCCCATGAAGTAATTAGCTTCCTAGGCACTTAATCTTCATCCAAATTATTAAACATAGTCAGTATATTTTGCCACTATAAAAGTGTATCTCCATCTTTTCACTCTGTGAAATTATTCCCTTGACACCTCTTACTTGGCTGCTGAGTCAATGCTACATATTTTAGATTTTGGTTATGATACCACATCACTTCTGATATTAATTCTTAATTATTGCAAATGAAGTCCCAATTTATAAACACTGTTTAGTAGGGGATCAGTTTCCTCAAGTATATTTGTAAGGACTAACAATTAACCAATGATTTTTCAACCTTTTTTTAATAACCCACAATAAAGAGAAAACAATTTACGTCATCATCCACTTCGCTGCTCAAATAATTTCTTTTAGAAGGATCACACAAGACTGTCCTCTGTGAGAGGGAGGTTAAAGATGTCCCAAATGTCCAACTTTTTCAAACTGCTGTCCCAGTCCATTGTCAACTCCTCTTCTTCCCCTCAATATTTTTCCTCTCATCTTTGGGTTCCTTATTTCACTGTAACATCTCACAGAGCTCACACACTGTCAAGAAATGGTTCACAGGGTGGGGTAGGTGGAGGTGGAGAGGCTGTTGTTGTTATTTGTTGTTGAGTTGAACCTAACTCATAGTGACCCCTCCTTGGGTTTCTGAGGCGGTATCACTATGGAAGTATTTTGCCCAAAATTCCTTCTGAGGAGTGGCTAGTGGATTTGAACCATCAGCCCTCTGGTTAGCAGTCAAATGTCTTAGGCACTACACTACCAAATCTATGGGGTCAGGCATAGATCTGGAGGATTCTCCTTACTCGTGTGGTTGCAAGGGCTAGTAAACCGAAACCAGTAAGTCAGATGATGGGCTGCTGTCTTAAGTTCAATAGTGAAATGATGATGAACCAAATACAGGATCTGGAGCAAGAGAGAGCAAACTTCGCCAGAAAATTCACATATATACTTCAAGGAAACTAAGTGTGGAGACTTGAGTCACACCCTCCAGCAAGGAAGGGCTCAAAATGCAGTCCACCTTAAA